GAATGTCTCATGTCACTCTTCAATCGAACAATGATATTAAAAGAGTTCGAGAAACCCCTCAAGAGATGGTAGAACATAACTATTGTATTACTTACTTCTGCCTGCCACTTCGAATCTTATACACTTTAATTCTGCCCTCCTCTTTGCAAAAACAGTACTTGCAGACTACAGTTATTATATAATAATAATAGTTTATTTCTCTCATAGACCCGCAAGACACCCGCAATACAGAAGCTAACTTTTGCACTGCTGGAGTCCTATCTACCTTACCTTAGAAGACGATATTGTCTCGAGTATAATGAAAGATATCTGGCATGTGCGCTATGGTGGGTTCATAGAATGTCATGTCAGAATGAAAATGAAAATAAATGAAAAAATGTTTATTACTTACATAAAAGCATGTTACAATAATAGAGGTTGGATTCCCCTTTTAAGTGTGAGAACACTTGTGCCAGGGAAAGCCATTCTCCCATAGCTTGAAGTGGTTAAGTAAAATATAGCCAGTGCATAATAATAAGAACATACAAACATTACTTATGCTAACAGCAAGTCGTACATGTTTACTACAATAATGTGTACATGCAAACTGTTTATCCTATTCAGTGTGCTAAAGTTGAAACTACTTAATTATCAAGCTTTCAGTATCCTCATAACTAGAGTTGTCAGCCAGTCTGTAAGCAGTTGCTTGTTTTCGAAATGTATCTTTATATAAATGTTCAGAATCTTGTTTACGGAGTTATAAAGGTGAGATGATCAATTTTTGTACTGGTGATTTGCAAACTGCGTTTTAGAATTGCTGGTCTTGGCTACGATGTCTTTCCTTCTTTTGGTTAAAATAAATGAATCTAGCGGTAGCGATTTGTGTTTTTTTTTAATATGGTATGGCAAAAAATATAAAGTTGTCAAATTGTTAGTAAATTATTCAGTGAGTATAGTAACTGTGTTGAGAATCTTAGTTTTTTGAAGAACATCATTTTAAGAAGCAACCTCTGTGCACGTTCTGCCTCTAATAATTTTACCTTAGATGCTCCACTCTAAACTGGAATGCAATAGGTCATGATTGATTGTGCTAATGCAACATAGATTTTTTTAAGAAGGTCTTGACTACAGCAATGTCGAAGGTTCTTAAATATCCAAATCAGCTTCTCTACTTGCTATTAAGTCAATTTGGGAGTGCCAGGAAAATCTTTTATCAATCATGATTCCTAAATATTTAGTTGAGCTCACCATATTAATACCAGGGTAACTACAATCAGAGTCATGCTACATGCCGGTGGACAATCACATTTCTGTCAAATGCTAAGTAGAAACAGCGCCTTAGATGCCTTTTTAACAGTGACATATTTGAAGGAATATATAAGTAGAAAGTCATTAGTTTCATCATCTGTTTTCCATTAATTAATAAGAACATCGAAGTTTGTGCTATACAAAAACTGCCCTCGCTCAAGCAACCTTTATGAATATTTGCAGTTAATGAGGCTCAAAGTTTGAATCCTTTTAAAGGCGGACGCAGCCAACAACTCGTGAAAGGGTAAGATTAATTATAGCCATTTTTGTTTCTGATATCGCGACGGAATTTTTAGTACACGAAAAATTAATTAAATTGCCAAGATCATTAACTTTACGGGTCGAGAGTGGCGCCTCTTCTATAATCCTTTCCTATACATTGGTTAAATACACGCATCAAAAAAATCTATAAGCAACATGAATCATTTACTCAAACTGCAAGTTTTATCACTTGTTATTTTATATTCATCATGATCATCATCATCACCATCATCATCATATTAGACGTATAGCGGTGGGTCGTTCTCAAATTTTCTGACGACGAAAAGCAACCGTTTTCACTTAAACGAAAATTAGTCCTCGAAACGGTTCTCGTTCGCAACTGGTTTTGGTTGAGGCTGCATGACGCAACGAAACGAACGAATGTAACGCAACGAAACTGAACTAAACGAAATCTTGTTAACGTTCGTTTCGTTTCTGCGAACGAGACGACGAAACATCGAAATGAATGTAGTGTTATACGATAATCGACTTTAAATGTTCAAAAATAAAGATTATATTATTGTAAAATCAAAGCTTAATTTATCATAGAACGAAACGGCCTCATATCACCATAAAGAACATATTGCCGTGCAGACAATCCGAGGACTAGTTGATGGACGAAGACTGTTTTGATCCGAAACGTAAAACGGTTGTATCGTCGCGGAACACAAAACGGTCCTTGAAACCGGTTCGTCTTTAGTACGCTCACACCTACAGACGTACGACGACGCCCTCTGTTGAGCATAGACCTCCCAAAAGATCTCCACAAAAATCGGTCCAGCGCCACTCGCATCCATCGGCTTCCCGAGACCTTTACAAGATCTTTGGTCCACTACGTAGTGGTCTTGCCCACTGAGCATCGTCCAGTGAGTGTTCATTTAAGAACCTTTCAGCCCCAACGGCTATAAGTTACGCTAGCTACGTGTCCCGCCCACTGCCACTTCAGCAGAGCAATCCTTTGAGCGATATCGGTTACTTTAGTTCTTCTACGGATTTTCTCAGTTCTGATTCTATCGCGTAGGAAAATATCGAGCATTGCTATCTCAATTGATCGCTGTGTGACCTTGAGCCTTCTTATGAGACCCACAGTAAAGGACCACGTGTCGCTTTCATAGGTCGTGGTGAATCAAGTAGTTAATATAAACAAAAGAATATAAAAATATTTAAAATTTACTTAGACTCTTTTGATGGGTATAGTTTCAAGCACAGGGCTTAAAAATAAAAAGTAAAAAACCTTTTAAAAAACAAGCTTTTATTGAAATTTGTTAAAAAGAGTAAAAGAAAAAATTCCTTTAATACTTTTACTATCAACTTATTACAAAATAGTGAGATAAGGTGGAGAATAATTTTTATTCACCCGAGAAGCTTAAATAGCTAATTCAGACAACGATTTAGGTTATATTTCCGCAAACAAAAACTGCTATTATTATTTTTTTCGAAAAACAGGCCCCACATAATTCTCACTGTTTGTGTAATTATGAAACCTTAACAAATTCGTTTGTTACAAATTAATTCAAATTTATCTACTTTTAGAATCCACGTACTTTAAAAGGGCAATAACTCCATAAGAAATGTTATTAAATATGTTATTTACAAATTTGCATCATTTTAGGATATCCTGTACACGCAATAAATAAATATTGTTGTATGGAGTTGTATTAAGTTTACTGTTCATAACTGATCGCACTATTTTTACCTAATTGTTAAGTTTTTCAGGTAACTCCAAATTCACGCTGTATTATTGTAGAAAATCACACGCTGTTTAAGTAAATATTCTGAGGTTACATTGCGTTGTGATTAAGCTGAAGTTTAAAAATAGAGAAGACTAGCAAACCAGTGAACCAAATGTTTCCCAAAACCTGATTTAAAAAAAAATATATTTAATTAATTGAGAACTTCGGAGATTTTGTGTGGTTTCGTTTGAAATTCGTGATTTCTCGAAAACCGGAAGTGCCACGTTACTCAAATCTGGTTTGTAGTCTTATCAGACTATTCTTAACTTATAACTTAAACATTCTCTTTATCTATCTCTTACGGTTTGGCCGCTGAAACAGCACCACAGACAGACGGACGGACGGACTTGTCTAATAGATAAGAGATTTTTAAAAGAAAATTATTGGGTTCATTTCTTTAAATCGAGACGTTGGTCTCGGCTGCTTCCGCAGTTGGTGGCACCCAGCAATCCGCACTGGGTGCGCCAGGTGGGTCATGGCCTAATCTCCCAATTGGGAAGGCCCAGCAATAGTGGGTATACATTAAAAGGTTGGTGATGATGAGCACTTATTATCAATATTTTTCAATGGTTTTATCATAAAAAATGTTTCGATGTTTTACATCTTTTATATTAAACATCATTAATGCGTTGTGGAACTCGATGGCGCGGGTGGTTAGCGCGTTCGGCTGCGATCGTTGAAGTTAAGCAACTTTCGCAGTGGTCGGTCATTGGATGGGTGACCAAAATCTTCTATCTCGAGCTCCTCCGTGCTTCGGAAGGCACGTTAGGCCGTTGGTCCCGGCTGCATCTGCAGTCGTTAGCACCCACCAATCCGCACTGGGCCCGCGTGGTGGGTCATGGCCCAATCTCCCTATTCCATCCATGGGGAAGGCCTGTGCCCCAGCAGTGGGGACATTAATAGGCTGATGATGAATGATGAATGAAAAATGCGTTTCATTACAGATAAAAGCTTTTGATAGTTGTGCTTCAATTTGAATACAGATGAAAAGTATTGATATGAATAGTTTATTTAGAATATGTACTTTATTATCGACTACATAAATATGTAATCGTTCTTCCATATAAAGTAAAGTCAATCATACTGGATGAAGATAAATGTATTTTAACTTGAAAGACTGCTTTAACAGACTGTTATCATTAAACTAACTTATCACACAACCGACAAAATAATCAGAATTACAAATAAGCACCTTAATTTTCTGAAGACACATTCAATAGAATAGTCGTCATCACATTGAATAGTCGCATTCGAAAATATTTCAGTATTAGTAAAATACATTGTATTATCATGTTTTTTAATACAAAGGTGGCACCGAGCGATTCTCTCTATAAATCCGAAGCAGAAACGATCAAACTGTCAAAATCTTTAAGATACTTATTCATATTCCTGCAATTTTTCTTTGCTATAGACAACGGTTTTGTAAGGACGAAATCTGCTAAAATCACAATTCTATTAAAATTGTGGGCCTTCTTGCACTTTTCATTAATTTTTGTGTACATCACTATCTGGACGGTGCCTTTCCCAGAGGTTCACTCCGTTTGGCTTTACTTAGTGAACGTTCAATATTTCCTATTCGCCGCCATTCTGTTGTCGCGCAAGTATTCCTTCTTCGATTTTCAAACCGATCTTCACTTGTTTGATAAAAAAATTAACGTCGTCAGTTCATACAGACCAGAATTGAGATTGTACGCGTTGTTCATTTCACTGATTCTCTATATGATCTCTAAAGGTTACTTTTTCAATAAGACCTTTTCCGTTACCAAATTCTTCACATCTTACGATGGTTATTACCACGTTGTGAGTGTGTTCGGCTTAGAAAGTATCAGAATCACGTATGCGTTGGTTTTTGCGTCGACATGTTGGCGAATCGAAAAGTTTATTTCCTTTGTTAGTAAGGACGATGTGAACGTGGTAGAGTGTCACTATCTTTATAAATATATCACAGATGTCACTGAGAAGGCGAAAGGCAATTACGACGTTGTGGTAAGTACCTATTTTTTATTTACTGGGTGAGATAAAGCACAACAGACTTTATGCTGGAGTTGTGACTTATTGCACTTTTTTCCAGTGTCAGGTTCCTGCATTAACATAAAAGAGTTTCACAAGCTAGTGGAAGACTTAAGGTAGCTAAATAGTCGCTAAACGGAATTTTCTATATGTGGTACTCTTAAGCAGGCCATATTTACCGGGTTTAAAAATGATTGAAGACCAAGATTTTTTTAAGCTTAAAGTTTGAAACTATGAGTAACTTATAATTAAGAAGAATATCTTGACGCCGTCAGCTAGCGAGGAAAAATAGAGTAGAGTGACATGACACGATTCATTCAAACATCTTGCGTTTCCATTGAATTAATTTATCCTTTTTAATTTATAAATCTTTAAATAAATATGATGCAGTTTTATCTTTCAACAGTTTATCATCACGTTATTGTGGAACAGCATTTCCATCACGATCATGTTGTTTTTGGGATTCCTCACGGAAGACGTGACAAAAGTAAGTTTACCAGATATGCGAAATTCCTCTGCATCTTCTTTATATTTTCATAGGCAAAATAGTTGGCAGTCCACCTGATGTTGAGTGGTCACTTTCGCCCATGGACACTTTTAGCACCAGGGGCTCCACTCATGCATTGCCGGTTCTGCAGAAAAAAAATTGCCTGCCTTCTGAAGACCATCGTATCATAGCTAAAAGGGAAACACATTGAGGGTTTTTTTATACTCGTAATATTTTCTTTAGATTTAAACGTTGAGGTAAGTTCATTCCATATATTTCTGGCATGCAAGAAAAAGAACGCCTTGTTCTAAAATGCCAAGTGTCCAGATCGTGGAGACGTAACTTCGTTCTGCGGTGTGTTTTCTTTTCTTGAGTGAGTATGATGTTGGTCGCAGATGACTTTTACAGCGTCACTGGGTTTGGGGACGGCGAGATCCTAAGGGGACCTCAAGCCGAGAATTGACGAGTGCCTCTAGAGGTATTCCAGGCGGATGGCATCTCTCCACGGGGGGTGTCACCTCTCCGTCTGGAGCCTCTAGACCACTTGAACCTGAGGGGTCTCTTCGGTGTGTGGTGCGGTGAAGGAACTTGGTCCTCACCAGTTTAATAACTAGTATTGCTTCTAATTTTTACTAAAAATATCAAAATATGAGCGAATGCCCTGACCACTAAGCTGATTTGTTAATTTTTCTACTATTTTATCATTCCCGTCATTAGAAATAATTTTCTTTTTAGAATCATACTTTAACTACACAAACTTATTTGGCATTGGTTATATTTCATATATTGCCTTTAAGTTAGTAGTTAAGTAATAATTGTGGCAGCTGCTTGCCAACTTGTAAAACATTCCATTGTACATGTTATACCTAGAACAATCAATCTTGTTCTATGAAGTTGCTACTTATTTATTTTAATATTTTTCAGAAGGATTTGGGACAATATTTCCTAATGGATCTCATAACTATGACGAAGAATTTCATCATTATGTTAGCGCCCATTTTCAAGGCAGGCTTGCTTACCTTTAAGGTTCAAAAACTGTTGCTTATTCTCCGAGATAAGCTGCTATTAGCAAAAGGTATTTATACTTATACCTAAGCTGCATTTGCCGTTCGTACATTCCATCCAATAATCTACTTAACTTTTTCATCATCGTCATCTTCAGACTTTTAATGTCCTGCTCAGGTAAAGAAACCTTTCACATGGATGACCATAATCTACCACGCGAGCCCAGTACGGATCGGTGGGTACTAACGACTGTAGATGCAGCCACAACCAATGAACTGAACATGCCCTTCGAATCACGGAGGAGCTCGAGGAAAAGTTATTGGTCACCCATCAAATGACCAACGATTGCGAAAGTTGCTCATCTTTCGCGCTAACCACCTGCACCGTCGAGCTTCTCTTCTTAATTTGATACTTACTAATTCAAATTGATGTGGTTTCATAATTGATATTTATTTTTACTTTTTCAGATGACAGTCAAAAAGTGGATATTAAAAGGTTCATCAATTACATCGAAGTACGCCCGATGAAGTTCGCCGTTTGGAGAGTGGTGCCTCTCGACTGGACCCTGCCCATCGTCTTGATAAACTTGTCCGTCACGTATCTCATCGTCATGATACAGTTCACGCACAAATATTGAAAACTGTAAAACAGTATGATACAGTTCACATACATATTTTGAAAACTATAGCACAGTATGATACAGTTTACGCACAAATATTGAAAATTGTAACACAGACTGATACTGTTTACGCTCAAATATTAAGGATTTTTAAAGTTAACGACCGATCTTTTTTTTATCCTCATTATATAGTTACGATAAAAGACATTAATTTTCTCAAGAGAATTTCCAAAAAGATCCACTCCACTCCACATACAGAGAAAATACAATGACAAATAATAACAAAAAAAAATTATAACATCGACTAACGATATAAAAATGTGGGTAGGTTAAAAAACATAATAGCATGACGGTGCTTCTGCACATGCGTATACCGAATACATGTAAACAAACAGTTAATTCACAAATATTTAAAATAGAAAAAATGTATATTTAACTCCTTAGTTTAACAATAGCTTTAGATATGGATTAAAATATTTTAAAAGTGTAGTAATATTGGTTTTATTTTTTGTACTATTCGAAAGTGAACAAAACAAACACGCATCACTCATATATATATAATGCTATATATTGTCGCGTGTGACGCTCGTGACGCATTTCCGTTTTATCTTTTCCATGGGCTTTTTCCATTTACACCCGGTCCGAAAAGAAGTTTCACTTCAAAAAGAGGGTTAAACCATGACATTGAAATACAATAAATAATAATAAAAACTTAAAAATACAACGTTCACTATCATTAACATTACCAAAAATTTTTTATCATGAAAGGCGAAGCTAAGCGCATTATGTAGGATTTCCTGATCAGGAATTCCAATTCGGAAACCTGAATACCCTTACATAGAAAAATTTCAATAAGGTGCACACTATTCTTAATTTTTTAGACTGGAAAACACCTTACGTTCGTTTCGGACTCTAACTAATAAAAAAACCGAAATTCCGAATCAGGATTCCTGATCAGGAAATCGGACATGTGCGCCCTGGAAGGAATTAGCACCATCTCCTTTCATGATAGCACTTCACATGGCTATTCGTATTTGCTATTTGTACTTTTGATATCAGTATAAAATACGGTCAACGAGAAGCGATAAAAAGTTCATTACCTTATACGAGACTATGGGACTGACAAACTAATGACTATCTCTTACATATCATATACTCGTATATGTTTACATTACTTTGCTTACATTTTGTATCGCTTCTCGTTCTTTAGGTATGATTATCACGCTCTATAGAAAACAAAAAGGAGACTGTTGTCAAATTGCAAATAAAAAATAGGTACTTGTACCCATGAGAAGTGCCGGTATCAAACATACTCTCAATACAAACGTATTTTGATAGCAATCATTTTAAAACAAGTTTGTTGGATATATTAAATACTGTATTTGGTTTGTTTATGGACATGCCAAAAGCATTTGATTTTGTTGACTATAACATATTGCTAGGTAAACTTGAAAGATATGTCTTACGATTATTGAGATTTTATCTGAATGCTAGAACTCAAGTCACAGATTTTGACCATATTTCTTTCAATAACAAACAGGAAACAAATGTTATATCTACTCCTAGAAGGATTTCCTTTGGAGTTCCCTAGGGAAATATTCAAGGGCCCCAGTTTTTCTTAGCATACATTAAAGCCTTCATCTATTAAAGATGAAATGATTTTATTTGATGATGATTCCGTGCTTCGTAAGACATGTTAAACCGTTGGTCCCGGCTGCATCTGTGGTCGTTACCACCCACCAATCCGCACTGGGCCCGCGTGGTGAATTAGGACCGATCTCCCTATTCCATCCTTAGGAAAGGCTTGTGCTCCAGCAGTGGGAACATTAATAGGATAATAATTAAAAAGAAATGATTTCACAATTATATTTAATGATCATAGTTTAATAAATTCGAGTTTAACATTCTTAATTAAATGGTTACAAATAATAATCTTGTGATAAACGTGGAAAAGACAGTTTAAACAACGAATAATACACTGTAACGTTGTTACATATTTATTTATTTAAAATTTATAATCTACTTAAAATAAAATTAAGCTTAATATTATTAACTAAAATACCTTTTTACATTATATACACGAATCAGTTTTTTTGAATACCTATTGTTTATAAACACAAAATTCATTTAACATCGGGCAATGCTATCGCGCTGCGCGCGTGCTCCCAAGTTTGGTGACTCGTTTGTTGAGTTCCTCCCCCTCTCGACCTGCACCGCGCATTGGCTGCCGGACGGCTGGCATTCCCGCACTCCGAAGAGAAGTCCGGGCCCAGAGAAGATGCAATTGGTCACGAAGCGGTGGTCGTACTGGTCGACAGTGAAGTCCCGAAAGGAAGTCGGAAGTCGTCGCCAGGCGATGGGGTGACCGTGACGGGATGGAACGCTGGTCGTTGTCACACGATGGAGTACGGTGGACGCCACACAATGGACCCTGTAATATGGTCGCATTAGTAACCAAACTCCGTTGTCTCCTCTGATTGTGGCCATGGCAAGAACTGGAGTAGAGAAGTACCCGGAACGTACGTGTGTGTTGTGTTGTAATTGCCACAATCAGATCGGAGTTACAATCGAAATTTAAGAATTACAGTTTTAAATAAATAAATATGTAACAACGTTACAACACTATGGTAAAGGCATCGAAATAAACTCAACTACACTATTATTAGAAATGGCAAACGCACATTGATTTCATCTGCAATAAAGTTTCCCAGTCATCGTACAGCCTGTCTTTTATCAAAAAAGGTTGGTCTTCCGACTTTTGTAACCGCTTATCATGGCTTTGTAGCTTCCAGACTGAGATACACATTTAATTTTTGGGGAAAAACTACTAATTGGGACAAAGTTTTTAAATATCAAAAGAGGTGTATTCGTGCCATGTGTAGATTGAAAAGAACGGACAGCTGCAGATGGTCTGCAGCCATTTTAAGGATTTAAAAATTCTAACCATGCCGTCGTTATATATGAATTAGTATCAAACAAAACCCAAGATTATTTAAAATTACTCGTAAAACCCGAGGACGATTATAGGTAGACTGCTTAACTGAGTCCTCATCTGCGGGGTGCAGGGTGTGGGGGAGGACGAGAACGGGGAACGTGAGTGCCTTTTCACATGTACACGGACACGGCACGGTTGCCGTGCCGTGTAAAATAGTAATGTATGAGCAACAATGAGAGCTTTCACATTGCACGGCGACCGTGCCGTGACCGCGTGTCAGCCGTCCTTATCCACTATATGCACGGTTTTGACACGGCAACCGTCTTTATAGTCTTGTATGGACTTGTATAGACGCGTTCACAAGAACACGGACGCGGTACGGCACGGCGAGCGCAAATACCATTCGCCAGCTAAAGTCATAGGGGAATGGACGGACGATTGTTGCAGAATGTCTGTCGAAATCTTATGGGATAAAACCATCGCGTCTTATAAAAACAGGAACGAGACAAAAGAAGCGTGGAAAGAAGTATGTATAGGATTAAATAGTAGTTTTGAAGAATTAGATGATAATGAGAAGAATCTTTTTTTGTTCCTAATAAAAGACGTCGTCGTTCCCCAAAATTCTCGATAATACTGCAACATCCATAGCCGGCGACCGTGTGTAAGCCGTATACATGTGAAAGAGCTAGCACGGTTGCACGGCATGGCGGCCGTGCCGTGACCGTGTGCATGTGAAAAGGGCCTGAGAGGTGCGGGTGGCAGGCACATTCTTATCAAAATTACAAGTGCCCGCCTGCCGTGCCGTGCCGTGCCGGTCTGCAGCTGTCCGTTCTTTTTAAATTTAATTTATTTTTACTTATATAATTTAAATGATATATATATAAATAATTTTGCTCTTCTCAATATTTTAAAGACTTTAGACCCTGACAAAAGTGCAGGGCCAGATAAGATCCCCCCGATATTTATTATTAGACTCGCCAACAGCCTTGTAACCCCATTAGCCTATCTCTTCAACTTTTCTCTTTCGTCTGGACAAGTACCAAATCTCTGGAAATCAGTATTTGTTACGCCTATCCACAAAAAAGGCCCCAAACATCAGATAGAAAACTATAGACCAATCTCCAAATTGTGTGTTTTCGCGAAAGTCCTTGAAAAAATTGTCTATTCTCAAGTATATTCTGCTATAAGACAAAGTCTTAGTGATTCACAGCATGGCTTTTTAAAAGGTCGATCTACTACCACCAATCTCTTGCTTTGTGAAAACTACATTTCCGAACACATGGCAGCGGGCTATCAAGTGGATGTCGTGTATACTGATTATAGCAAATGTTTCGATAGGATAGAGCATGTCGTACTTTTACAAAAATTGCAAATGATTGGTATACGCGGTAACCTGTTTCGCTGGTTCAGCTCATATGTTGAGAATCGGAGTCAAATCGTTGTTCTCAATGGTTATCAGTCTACCCCACTCTTAATACCTTCTGGATTACCTCAGGGATCACTTTTGGGTCCCTTGTTATTTACGATATTTACGAACGATATATATTCTAATTTTTTTCACAGTAAAATATTTCTTTATGCGGATGATATGAAAATTTTATGCCCAATCAAATCAATCTCAGATTGTACTCGATTGCAAGAAGACCTTCACAGGTTTCAATCTTATTGCATTAAAAATAAATTAAACCTTAATATTTCAAAATGTTTCGTCTGTTCGTTTTCAAGAAAACCTAAAGTCATTAAATTTAATTATAGTATTCAGAATAATATACTTAACAGGACTAACTATATGCGGGACCTTGGAGTGATTTTTGATTCTAAGCTTACATTTGAGAATCATATTGATTCAATAGTCTCAAAAGCCAGAAAAGCTCTAGGTTTTGTTATACGAATGTCGTCTGAATTTACAAACATTAAAACTGTAAAAATGCTGTATTGTGCTTTCGTGCGCAGCCACCTCGAATATGCCTCGCAAGTATGGAACCCTCAGTACCAGACTTACATTTCGAGGATCGAAGCTATACAAAAACGGTTTCTACGTCATATTCAATTTAAATGTAGGAAATTTCACCATGGTTACTCCAGTAGATGTAAAGCATATCATACTTTACCACTTCAGAAACGCAGAGAAATGGCGGACATCACCCTATTATTGAAGACCCTTAATAGCAGCATCGATTGCCCTGAATTGTTAAGCAAAATATTTATTAGTACCCCTGACAAAATCACTAGGCACTCTAAAACTCTTTATGTGCCGTTAGTCTCAACTAATTATCGTCGAAATTCTTTCACAATTAGAGCTCCTCACACTTTTAACCAGTACTCATCAGGCCAGTTAGATGTTGATTTGTTTTGTGACAGCTTGAATTCATTTAAAAAAAAATTCAATAATCTTTTCTTTGAGCCGAGTACTTAACCTATGTATTTTTTAACTTTCTGCTTTTTTAATTACTTATAAGTATATATAGTATACATACATACATACTTAATAATGCATTTAAGCATCATGTGCGCTTCATGCCGACTTTTTTAATTAGTACTTTAACTATCCGC